GGAATTATATCAAATTAAAAAGCTTCTGCATAAAGAAAGAAACCCAACCTATAATAAAGACACCCTATTGAATAGGAGAAAATATTTGCAAACAGTTCTTCTGATAAGGGTCTATAGAGCTTTACCTATAAGGTACTCACTAACTTGCCAACAATAATTCCAATTACCCCGTTCCATAAGTGTGGCAAAGAGATGAAAAGAAAATATACAGATGACTAACAGGCCTATGAAAAGGTGCTCACTGTCACTCATAATTAAATTAATGCAAATCAAAACAATAATGAGATATCGTCTCATATCTGTAAGAATGGCACATTACAAAACATCTGAAAACAGCCAATTCTATTGGAGTTGTGTTGAGAAAGGAACCCTAATTCACTCTTTATGTGAATGTCATGTGATTCAGCCTCGATGTAAAGCAATATGATTCTCCAAAAATAGGAATGGAACTCCTGTATTACCCTGTGGTATCACTTCTTGTTATTGATTCCCAAAACACAAAAACAGTAAGTTTAAAGGATATATGTATGCCTGTGTTCGTCATTGCACTTAGTACAATAGCCAAGATATGGAAACAATGTATAAATACCCAATTACAGACAAATGGATCAAGAAATTGTGGTATATATACATAGCGGAATACTGTGAAGCTCTAAAAAGAACAAAATCATGCAATTTGCTGCAACATGGATGAAACTAGAGAATATCCTGCTGAATGAACTCAGTCAAAATGAAAAGGAAAATACAGAATGATCTCTCTCATATGTGGTACTTAAAGATACACAGTGAGGTAACAACAATTCTCCAAATGCAACATAATTGGAGAACTAAACTACACAATTGAGTTTGGGGACAGGGATAAGATGGAGGGGTATTGAGACACTAAGGGGAAGGAGATGGGTACACTGGTGATGGGTGTGGTGTCGGTATTTCATTCATGAGAAACCATTATTAATAATATTGTAAACCGTATAATCTCACTTAAAATAAATTTTAAAATAAATAAATGCTCCAACCCTTTAATCATAAGGTTGATTTTTCCAGCCCAGCCACCTTTATTAGGTCCTTTCCATTATAGTCTCATTTTCATGACGAAGGACAACTTTCCTGCTCCTATTATAGGAAATTTTATGGATTTAGGAGTTAGAAATGGGAACAAAGACCAAATGTATATTTATTATAAATCACTATATTGCATTGAAAATAGATGATCTTATGTTCTTCAGACACCATAATGTGCCCTTGGCATTTATTACATATTGGAGCAGAAAAAAATCACTCCTTCAAAAACCAAAAAAGAAAGAAACAGTGACAAAAGGAAATAAAATCTAAATAGTGTTAACTCTCAAGAGAGCTTAGTAGAACTGAAGCAGTCAGGAAGAGATAGTACCTATTTAGGGGATTACCATGGCCATGACAGTATGTTGTTATTATGTTGTTGTAACTTGTTACAGCAAAACTAGGAAACTAATACAGACATAATTGACTTTTACTAAATTTAGAAAATCTTAGATAAACTTACCTATATTAGTTGTACATGTTGTCTCTTATAAGGATTGGCAAAGGATTCATCCTACTCCAGTATAATCTTACCTTAACTAATTATCTGCTATGACCTTATTTCCAAATAAGGGAACATTCTGAAATAACAGGGTTAAGACTTTTAATATATCTTAGTTGAAGGAACAGGATTCAACTCATAACACTCCATTCATCTTATCCCAATTTCAAATCAACTTCTCCCTGCAGAATCCTTCAGCTTTAGCTCCTATTCATGCCACACTCTGATTTTCCCACAGTCATCTCTCCTGGGGATTATTGCTGTAATCTCCAAAGCAATTTTCTTACTTTATTTCATACTTCATATATCCAACAAGTTATAGAATTAATTTCTAATCAGATTTCTCTGGCTGAGACCCACCAGTGATTTTTCCTAACCACAACATAAAGAGCAAATCAGTGAAAATGCATTTTTTCTTGTTCTTAGAACAACTGTTATCCCTTTAACTCCTTACTGAACTGCTCCTCATCTCTAAGGCCCAATAAAGACATAAATTACTCAGCTTCCATTCATAGTTCTATAACATAAGACTGTTTAGGCTACATTTGTCTTTCTATGGTATCTTATATCTTCCTGGCAACTAATGAAGAATTAAAAAAGATAGGGTACCTTTTGCAGGAAACAATCATCACTATAGAAATAGAAGCAATCACAACCATGAACTCCCTGTCATTGATATTAATATTAATGAACCATTGCAGCATAGCTATAAAGTACATGTAACATGTAAGTAAATACTACTAAATAGTACAGAGTTATATATGAAATAGTTTTTGACATGTTTATTATTTAATATAATTATGTTTTGTTGTAACTCACCTGATGCAAAAATAGGTGTCTATAGTGAAGGTATTTTCTGAAATCAGCATATATATGCACATATCTATGTCATGTGCATTATACAAAGTATAGGGGGCATGGAGGTGGTTCAAAGGACTAGAGTTTTGCATGCAGGAACCCAAGGTTTAAACCTGGCACTGCATGGTTCCCTGAATACCTCCTGGAGTGGTCTCTGTGCATTGCCAATGTGGACCCTAAAAAAGTTAAGTAAACTATATATATGTATGTATATATTCATTCATTCATTCATTCATTCATCATCCTGTTATTCATCGATTGCCTCGAACAGGCCCCAGTAACGTCTCTTTCATCCTAGCCCTGAGATTATATTCAAGGTTCTTTAGGAGAATGAGACCCATCATTGTTACTGGTATTTGGCATATTTGTTACGCCATGGGGAGTTTGCCAGACTCTGCCCTGTGGGCAGGCTACATTCGATAGCCTGCAAGTTTGTCCAAAGTAGGAATGAGATAATAAGATGTCATAAAAAGATGTCCTGATAAGATGTTCCTCTGCCAGTACCTTCATGTGTGCGGAGAGTGGTCTCAGCATGGTGGTGGCTGGTCCTGGAGGTCTTCGGCTGCCGGAGCCCTGGTCGGGGTGGGGAGGAAAGCTCAACCCGCTCCCCTCCAAGGGACCCTGGCGAGGAACAGCCAGGCGCAGGGGCAGGAGACTGACTGCACTGGTCTCGTCCGGGAGCTGCATTTTGTAGTCTCTGAGTCTTGGCCGCTGATGGGATTACACGGCGCCAGGGGGCCAGGTGGTGGGTGTGACCCCCGCCTACTGGAATTTGGAGGATCTGGGTGGAGGATGCTCGACTCCAATCCGAGTAGGCTTGGAGATCTCGGCCCCGGAACCCGCGTGGCTTTGTCCCTCTGCCAGTACCTTCATGTGTGCGGAGAGTGGTCTCAGCATGGTGGTAGCTGGTCCTGGAGGTCTTCGGCTGCCGGAGCCCTGGTCGGGGTGGGGAGGAAAGCTCAGCCCACTCCCCTCCAAGGGACCCCGGCGAGGAACAGCCAGGCGCAGGGGCAGGAGACTGCACTGGTCTCGTCCAGGAGCTGGATTTTATAGTCTCTGAGTCTTGGTCGTTGATGGGATTACATGTATGTATATATGTATGTATATATATGTGTTATATATTTTTATATATAGGAATCAATCACAACTATGAACTATAAATATAGTTTACTTAACTTTTGTATGTATGCAATATATGCATATATACAATAGCACTGTCCACTGTAGCACTGTCCTCCCATTGTTCATCGATTTGCTCGAGTGGGCACCAGTAACATCTCCATGGTTAGGCTTGTTATTACTATTTTTGGCATATCAAATATGCCTCGGGGAGTTTGCCAGGCTCTGCCGTGTGGGCAGGATACTCTCGATAGCTTGCCAGGCTCTCCAAAAGAAATGGAGGAATCGAACCTGGGTTGGTGGTGTGCAAAGCAAACGCCATACTCACTGTGCTATTGCTCCAGCCCATATGTACAATACATACATATATATAAAGTTACTTATTTCCAAGAGTATATTGAGAATGAACTCGTGCTCCTATCACTCAATTGAAAATAAGAGTTGGAGCTGGAGAGAGAGATAGTATAAAGGTTAAGGCATTAGCCTTGCATGCAGCTAACCGTAGTTTGCTCCTCAGGATTGCATATGGTCCACGGAGTACCATCATGCATGGTCCCCGAGCACAGAGCCAGGCGTAAGCCCTGTGCACCATTGGGTGTGCCCTTCACCCAAGGTTACAACAAAAGAAAAAAAAAGCAGTAACCAAGCAGCCTGTATAATTGCCAGTTTCTATTAGAAAAATGGGACTGTTAATAAAGTACAAAATTAGTTATAGCTGCAATAAAGGTGCATATCAAGCAACTTACTACCCCAATCATGTATTCAGTGGTACACACCAGATACTTCTTTTCCCAAAACCTCTTTGCTGCTATCTACCTAATCAAAATAATCCTACTGGTGAGCTACAAGATTGGCCTGGTGTGTTCTATTTGTGTGATTCAAAAACAAGCAGTTCTCTGAGCTATCTTCGTCTGATGGAAAATGGCAGAGACATGGAAGACCAACTCAAATCATGTCCAGCGTTTTAGGATGTCTGTTTGTAGTACATCTGCCAACATGGCAGAGGCCAAAACCAACCCATAGAAAAGGAAAGAAAATATACTTCATAGGAGGTCCTCCAAGGTCATTTGGCCAAGTTTGTGGGTATATAATATACTAGGAACAACAAAGAATTGAATACAAATATCCAGGACCAGAGTGATAGCACAGTGGGTAGGACATTTGCCTTGCATGCGGCTGACACGGTCAGCCAGCATCCCATATGATCCCTGAGCTCCTCCAGGAGTGGAGTAATTCCATCAGTGGGCGTGACCCAAAAAAACAAAAAAACATTTTTTTAAAGAAATAATCCCATCTCCCACAAAGTCCTATGATCTGAAAATAGTAGAAATACCAGTTTTGAACATAAGCTTTTAATCAAGAACTTATATAAAGATAAGAAAACTTTGACATTGCATTTATAAATTGGTACTCTGATCTGTAATTATAATTATATCCATATGTGTATATTTTTTCCCCGTAGGTATGTGAAGATGAGTGGACTGGGAAGCCTTCACCTATACCTGTGAAATACGTTAACTATATGGCCCTTTTGAGGGATGTGTATGGCATTAGAGAGGAGGATGTGGTGTAACCATGTTAGTTTGAGTCGACATCTTTTGATTTCCTGCTCTAATATTGCCAAGTTTAGAAATGTAGTTTTTTTAACAACAGAAAAAAAACATGGTTTATACTGAATAGAAATCCATAAGCCACAATTAATCTTCTGTCATTTTTGATTTTCAGAACATCGTATCATTGATTATATACCAGTACTATTAAAAATGCCATTTAACAAAATGTCAAGCCTTTTTATTGTCTGTATGATTTATTAATATCAAGTAATCTTATGGCAATTTTCTATCCAGAATAATTTTATTCATTACAACCCAAAAAGAAAGTGACTTCTGACAGCTATACATGATAATGTAAAATCAAATTATGACAGAACAGTAAGCTGTTATTCCATTAAACATTTTTGAGGTTTTTTGGTGCCTGTTTATTGCTTTTATAATTAAGCTTTGTTGCTATCTACCTTATCAAAATGATCTTTAAGCCTCTCTTCAGCAAATGTTATTTATTTATTGTTTTCTAAAATTTGCAATGCTATCAGAATAGAAGAAACCCCCCTACCCTGGCCTCCTGCGAAACACATATCCACATACCCACAGGTTAAGTTTGGGAAACTGAAATGTACAGAGTTTACATTTTAACGTCCCATGTGCATGTGTAATAATGGCACCACCAAAATGAATTGTGTCTAAAAGATTTAGGCATGTGAATACCGAATATTGTGAGTTCTTTTTTACTTAATTCTTGAGCACATGGACACAAAACTGCACAATTATTCACCCATTCCAGAGGTTTAAATATTCTGAGACTATAACATGTTTCTCTTGTGGTTTTCTACTTCTTTTTCACTTTAAAATTTTGAGAGGAGGCATGGCATCCTCCTGGCAGGGTTTGGGATTAGAGAGATAGCAGAGATAGACAAAGATTAAACCCAGGTCGGCCACATACAAGCCAAGCACCCTACCCACTGTACTATTGCTCCTACTTCAATTGTTATTTTTCATTTCAGAACATGCACTCTGAACCTAAGCAGAGATTTTGTCAAATAATGTGCCTTTAGTTTTCATTTTGACTATAGTTCTCTGGGAATTCATGGTGTGAAGTTTGTCCCAATCTACCCTATTATTCTTTGGGTGCTGTATTCCAAAGTCAACAGATCAGCTATTTACCCTTCAGGCATGGCTCTGAGGAAAGGGAGCAGAATTAATATATTGTTCTTTCACTCCACATTTGCAGCAAAATCTAGACTAGAAATGAGTTGGCTTCTTAGGACTCAGGTACTTAACTTGGTTGTCAACAATGTCTCTTCCATTTTCTAATTGAAATTAATGAACTGCATATATATATACAAACCTGCAATGAATTTATGTGTGCCATTGTTAGAATCGATCCCATAACACTTTCCAATAAACTATAATAATGTATAAAGTAGAACCATCTACCCTTAAAATATAATTTTGACTACTTGATTTTTGTAACAGGTTGTTTTGTTTTTGTATTTTAATTTTTTAAAGAAAATTGGCAGTGCCAAGTCGTTTTGTCACTTTAAGATTTTCCATCCCATGCTGGAAATCGAACCCAGGTTGGCTGCTTTCAAGGCAAACACCCTACCTGCTGTGCTATCTCTCCAGCCCCAATGGATATATTTCAACACTTAAAACATAGCATAAAATGGGCATGCATATCTCATATTTAACTCTTCTCTGTCATCTGCTTTGAATATCAATGTAGTAGTAATAAGTAGTTTTAAAAAACTAAGTGAATTATAATAGTAATAAAATTAGTCTCTACTCATAGGTAAAAATATTCATTTTTATGGGCCAAAGTTTGCTTTGCCTTTAGAACAGGAAAGTTTTAGACTTATCCTTATAGGTTATCCCCAATGCTTGGCTCAGAGCTCATATATATACATATATATATATTTATCTCCAGTTTGTGCACTTTGATAATAACTTTTATTGAAGTTCTTCTTCTTTTGTACACCATACATGGCCTCTCCCATCCTATAGCTAAATTCATGATAATGTGAAATAAGTGCTATTATTTTTTTATTATTAAAACTAATGATTAAAATGGAAAAAAAAAGATGTTCCATTCCCCAGAGAGCAAGTTTTTTAGAAGATGATGCTTTCCTGGAACTTTTCAAGATGACACATTTGTCACTTACCTATTCAACTCTTCAGTCAGTTGTCTTTCCCTCAAGATTTAAATATGTAGATAATTTAGCCCTCATATGGTCTTGTAATGACGTTAATTTGAGAAGTGGGAGGAGAATAGGAAAACCAGAAAGCCAATGGTATTCTTCCGACTTTGCAGGGTGACAACTGCCTGTTTCATTGCATAGATGCCTGTCACTTCTCTAGCTGTTCCCAGTTCAAGCCCACAATTAGCAATTAAATAGAATCATGCTGATAAGCATGATACATTGCAGTCATACAGACACTTTAAATAATTATTCTTTTTATAACTAAACAATATACTGAAGGAGATTTATAATTTAGAGAAAATATCCCCATTAGTAAATTTTATGACTCAATAAACAGCTTCCACTAGTTAATAAATGCCAGAGTCATAAAAACAAAGACTATTAATGTAACAGAATTTCTGTACCGTGCTCTTTTGCTGGTGGTCTCAAGGAACTGAAGGAAAATAGGGTCTTAGAGAAAACATTTATTCTCGTTATGTAAATATCTTTGAACTGTCTCAAAATCCATCTGGAAATCTCTCAATCCTTCACCCCATCTTAGTCCCAGGAAGTACTGAAAAACTGATGCTTTGTGGGGGGTGGGGTATGGGGTGGGGGTTGAATTTCAAGCAGTAGATAACTCCTTTTTTTTTCTCAGCACAAATACATTTTGTGACTTAAATTGTGGTGGGAGGCGGATGGACAGCTGTAATGTCTATAGTGTCTGCTTTTTCATCTTCTCTGGAGAAAAAAAAGTAATTTCAAGTATTGGTGTTATTTTAGTCATAATTTTTAAAACCTTCACAACCTTTTCATATACTTAATATTTTACCTGCTTTTCCCTCTGCAAAAGTGAAATCCCACCTAAAGTTTCACAACCGTTGCATATACTTATATTTTTAGCAGCTAACATTTTTTCCTTAACGGAAGAACAGATTTTGCCTGTGGCTGACTGGGTGAGTTGAAGGTTAATATAGGCAAACCTTTTGTACAAAGAATTATTGTGGTTTATTTTGTTTTAGTCTTTCTTGAACTAAGGGAATGATTGATCACTTGAAAGCCCAAATCAAATCATGTCCTTTCACTGAAAAAAAAAACTGATTTAAACGTGTTAAAATCCACATTAAATGATAAGATTTGCTGAATCATTGTTGCAAAGTATGGTTATTATATGCAGATGACTAGTTTCCGGTGTTTATTTGTCTTTTCCCATTTTTATTCTAACTTTGAATATTTGAAAAAAAACATGTCTATTGGCTGAATGGGCGTTTAGTGAAATAATTGGCATTTTAAGTAACAGAAAGGAGATTTGAACTGTAACTTTCAAGCATCTAGAGTTTAAACATTTTTCTTTATTCCCTCTGATGCAATTAATGCCAAACATTCCATTCTTGGTCTCTGTATTTCATGCTATGGTATTTGAAATCTGGCTCTTTGAGATTGTAGTGCTTTCTGATTTTATGGATGTATCAGTCATGACTGTTCAGTATTTAAATTTCCCTTCCTTATTTCCAAATAGCTGGGGTTTATTGATGCACATCAACGAGGTGAAATATCTCCAGTTTTTTTAAAAAACCTTCAACATGGATTTATTTATTTTAATTTGACAACCTTATGACCTATATGCTTCTTCTTTATTTCCCCATCCCCTTCTTCCTTGTTTTATGATTTTTGCATAGTTTATCAGGTCTTAAGTAATTTCTTAATGCAATAGTGGGATTTTCTCAAAAAATTTATGACATTTAATGATGCAATACCCATTGGATAATAAGTGGTCTTGTTCTCAAATATATATATATATATATATATATTCTTTTAGTTAAGACTTGATTTCTCAATTTTTAATACCCTTCAAAATAAGTCTGTAAATGATCTTTTAGACAAAACACTCCTAATGATATTCAAATAAGGAGTCTCTCTTTTAGGCAAAGTTTGAACTGCTTCAATTGAAGACAGGTTAGGACCTTTTCAGAAAATGATTCTTTTCAAGTTGACTGAACACCTTTAGAGACACGGTGCTTTTCAGTCCCTAAGAGATTATAATGTGTAAAAACGGAAAACCCACTGAGCCAAGATCAATGAAGCTATTTAGCAAATAAACCTGGAGAGATAATGGAACAAACATCATTATTACAGGGGGTAAAGCTGACTGTGCAATTAGTTTTTGAGAAATTGTAATTCACCCCAACTCACCTTCTACCAGGTTGTGTATCGTTTAAATAAATATTTTTATTCAGAGCCAATTAAGTTTTCTAAACGTGCATCTTATTTGCAATTGTTCCTGTTCCTCAGCAAAATCCTTGCGAGGCTACTTTTGAGCCCATTATGTGTGTGGTGCATGCAACAGGAACCCAAGGGTCAGCACTGCTGTTCAGAAGCAACTGGTAAAGGTTGAAAACTGTGACCTATGAAAAACTCCACAGTGGCTCTGCAAGTAGAGAATTAATGACTGGCTGGAATCAGTAGGAGCCTTCACTTCTAAATACTCATTAGCTTAAGCAGTGAGGCCTGGTGTTATGCATGTTAGAGAGGGAAAAGAGCCCCGCCCCTTCCCATTGTCTATTTTGAACAGAATATGCACATTTAATTCAAAGTGGTGAATGCTTTAAATACTTCAAACCAACTATTCATCAATCTCCCAGTTTCCTGAGCCTGGCTTTGCATCTGTGTAAAGCCAACAATAGAGGAAATAGAGGAAATGACCCCACTATAATATTAAAATCCAGAGAGGCTTGGTAGGTTGGTGAAAAATATAAAATGCATTCTCCCTTAGAAAGAATTGCATCAAAGTAATCTTTGTATTTCTTTTTCTCTTAGTTTGACTATACAAGAACATCTCACTGAAACAGGAACTTTCGAAATTACTTTTGCGAAATTACTTTTACGTGCTTTTTTCCCCCTTTCTTGCTAAACTGCTTTTCATTATGGTTGTGAGGCCACTCACATTGAATACAGAGTAGGAGCAGAAAATGCATTTCAGAAGGGCTGTAGATATTGCCAGTTTTAACCAGGACTGGAACATGGGAAGTCAAAAGGGTAGTGACAAGAGATGAGAATTGCTGAAGGGAGCAAGAACCAGAATAAGGACTGTATTGTTTAACTCATGTTCAAAGTTTGAACTTCATTTCAAGGGAATGAGAAGTTACTGAAAGATTTTACTCTGGAGAGTGAAAAGAGCATGTCTATTTTAAAAT